TTCTATACTGTAGCACTGAATTTTTGCTGTTCGTATTTGTTGTGAACCGCTGTGAGTCGCCTTCGGGCTGAGAACAGCGGTATATAAGTAAGGTAAATAAATAAATAAATAAATTTGGTCACAGGTTATCGGCCTGTCTGGAAGACACCTCACTTTGGCTTCAGTACATTTTCTGGGGAGTGGCACACAGCTCCCCCTCAACCAGTGGGATCTAGTTAAAGATACAGTAATATTATTCTGCAAGAACATGATCACTGTGTATAAGATGTATACGAAAAATACATCAATTTTGCGTTTAGACTTAGGTCATATCTCCAAGAAATCATATTATGTATATTTATGCAAATACAGTTATTCCAACCCTAATCTCCTACATCAGGAAGCCAAAACATTTTGGAAAAGGGTTATTCAACCTGTATACCAAGGGTGGGCAAATTGCAACCCATAGCCGGCATTCCACCCTCCATGCTGCTTTTGCGGCCTTGAAAAATAGTTTGCCCTCAAATGTCCTCAGGGGCTCATTTAGTCCAAGAAGTGTCCCTCTAAAAACTGTTCACTTCCTATTTTGAAAGAAAGGGCATCTCCTGAGCCTTGGTACCACAAAGTATCTCCAAACAACAACAACAATAACAATTTTATTTTTGTATAAAAGCAGAGATCAACCAATGAACCTGCAATAATGATCAGTTTCTGGGCACAGGGGGTGAACTGGTGCAAATCAACTGTGAGGATAGGGCTGATGGATAAAGTGCGTAAATCAATTGGCAGCAGCAAGGACAGAGGGCAATGTAAGATAGAGCGTTATAACTTTGGTTACAGAACAATAGTAAAGTATGAGGACAAGATTCTTGGGGCTTAGCTGGGGCCAAGTTATCAGGAAAATTGTCTAGTCAAAAACACAGCGGAACATCCACATCTCTAGATCTTCACGGAAGATGGACAGAGTGGGTGCTAGTCTAATAGCCCTGGGGAGGAAGTTCCTCGGGGGGTACCATCAAGAAGACCCTCTTTCTTGTCCCACCAATAGTACCTGTGATGAAGGTGGGAGTGAGAGAAGACTCTCCCCAGAAGATCTTAGAGATCGTGCAGGTTTGTAAGGGAAGATGCAGTCCCAAAGAGAGACCGGTATCAAACTGTTCCAAATTGAATTACCTCTATGGTGAAGGACAAGGCACCCAGAAATGCTCTGACTTTTCATAGCATACCATTCCAAGACATCATGGTCTACATTTTAGAAATCTTTCTGTTGGTTTTTGACATCACATCTGCATCATTGCTCCCTTTAGCAAACCTCCTCCCCTTAACTATGTAGAGGGCCATGTTGAAAATGGATTCAACATCTGTCCAATTAAGTCCTGAAAATATGGTGCCAAGAACCATCTTGTCCTTCCAGTTCAGGTCACAAATATTTCCGATTAGCCTTGCAGCCATGGGTCTTTCTCACTTCTTGAAAGAACCTTGGACCATTTATATACAGAGGATGCACTCCTCCCATAACATTTAGTGTGGGCGTTGAAATTAAGCTGTCAAGCATTCATGCCAAAAGAAGTGAGATAAAACACTTGAACTAAAGGAACTCTTTTGTTTAATATTTGGCTCATTTTATTTTAAAAACTTAAAAGACTCAGAAAAACAAGGATACCCTTCTGGCAAAGCAGAATTTTTTGGCTCACTGACTACTGCATTATTTATGAGAAGCTGCACTGCTGGAGATTGAACATTTGCTGATTTGTCAAAAGCAGAAACACGAGGTCCTGCCTGTCTCCATGACATATTAGTTCATCCAATGGAAAACACTGTCACACACTTTTAATTGATGGATACACTTCCTTGTGACCCAGGCAGCTTGCTCCAATTCTTTTATTGTTGTTGTTGTTACTTTTTTATTATGCATTTACACATGGACAAGGCAAATAAGCATCAGCAGTAGACATTCTTGAAAGGAACTCCCAAGGTTAACGACTCTGGGGAAGGACAGGTTGACCGCATTTTTTGAAAAAAGTAGGGATATTGCCAAAGATTAAAAGGCTGATACCTAACATGTAATATCTTAATATAATTTCATTAGCAATTAGTAAAGCAGCAGCTTTCCTTCTTCATTATGTGACCATGATACTCTAGCCTTTAACTTCTTAGGAATCACAGCAATAATTTTTAAATGGCCGTGATCTTCAAGAGCTTCGTCTTATTAGAGATATATGTAATCTCATCAGTTTTTCACTGCAAGAAAATTCTATGCTCAGGTTTGTCTTTTCTTCACAATGTGAAGTGGATCTTAGCCAGGTCCCATGCACAAGACTCACAGACAAGAGTAGAAATGAACAAAAAAAAAATATTTTCTCTTAATAGCAGAGATAAAAAAACAAAGAGTGCAAGAAACTTACAGAGTCTTTGTAAGTAACACAAAATAAGGTATCTTTATCTTAAGTCAAATGAGAAAGCATAACATAAACTGGGTTGTTGTAGGTTTTTTCGGGCTACATGGCCATGGTCTAGAGGCATTCTCTCCTGATGTTTCGCCTGCATCTATGGCAAGCAGCCTCTGAGGATGCTTGCCATAGATGCAGGCGAAACGTCAGGAGAGAATGCCTCTAGACCATGGCCATATAGCCCGAAAAAACCTACAACAACCCAATGATTCCGGCCATGAAAGCGTTCGACAATACATCACATAAACCTTGAGCAAACAACTATTCCACCATAGCCTCCTTTAGAGCAGCATAATAGCTTCTCTCTAACCTGCTCCTCAGAGCAGAGCCTTTGAGCATAGATCTCCTCAGTTAAAAAGCTCTCCAGAACTGTATTCTAAAAACCCATACAGTTATACCCTATCAGATGTGGTCCAAGATTGCTAATTGACCTACATTACCAGCTGTAAATACTAATTACCATCATAAGGTTTTTCTTCAACACACACACACACACACACACTTGGTCCTGCTACAACTTACTGTAACAATTTTTGGTTCACAATGCAAGTTATTATGAGAACGTGGTCTTTTAGAAGTGTTGTGCTACCAAATTTTGCCAATATTGATAGATCCAATAGCTGGATTTCATGGCAGATGAGGTTTTGCCTGGGTGGAGGCTACTTCTAGACTTCAGTTGAACTTAGCAGATTCTGTTCGGTTCTGGTCCCACTGCATTTGTTAAATKCCTTCAACTGAAATTCAAGTTATGGTGATCCTATCATAAAGCTTCCTTGACAATATTTTTTCAGAAGAGGTTTACCTTTGTCTTCCCCAGATGCTAAGAGAACATAATGGTTTTAATAACTGTTTGGATATTTGATGATGTACTGTTTTTAATATRTTTTATGTTTATAGTGTGGTTTTACTATTGTAGTTGTAAGGCATTGAATTTTTGCCATTATCTATGTGTAAACCGCTTTGAGTCCCCCTAGGGGTGAGAACAGCTGTATAAAAATACTGTAAATAAATAAATAAATAAATAMATAAATAAATAAATATTTTTTKGTATTCAATCACAGAGCATACCCAGGCAGACCAAACCCAGGTCTTCCAAAGTCCTAGTCCAGTACCCAAGCCACTTCACCATGTTGGCCTTTAGTCCAATTCTGGTAGTTGCTGAACTCAATGTCTAATGTGGACAATAGTTGAGAATGCATTCCACTGTACTTCAACTGTGTTGTGTCTTTTTTTTTTTGACCCACACAAAAAATGGGCAACAGATTTTTAGAGCAGTATGTGCTCTGGGTTTTGGAAGACCTTGGGCAATGTGCTCAATGGGGGCCATCTTCTCCAAGGCACTTGTGTTATTTTCTTTTGGTCCCAGTCTATAAAAATGTCACTGTTGTGCATTTGGAGAGAGCAGATGAAAAGACATTGATAATTAGAAATAAAAAGAAGAGGAAGACCAGGAAACTCCAAAGAGTTGTAATGAGACTCCTGTAGTGGGGAATGGATCCTGAAAGTGGTGCATTTACCTAGGGAAACCTTTTTAAAGCTACACTGCAGTATCAGGTAATGTGGCGAATTGCTATGTTCTTAGGCTTTTCCATCTCCTGCCTCAAAGCGAAAGACAGTGGCCAAATGAAAAAGAAGGCAATGTGCCAACACATTTAAAAAGTCATGTTGAAAATACGACTGTAGCAAGAATACTGTGTTCTTTCACAATGAAATTAAGAATTGTGCTTGTTGCCTACTAAAGAATTGCACAGTCAGTCTGAGATAGAGGATTGGGCATTGAATTACAACTCTCTACACCAGGGTTCAATTCCCTGCTCAGCCATGGAAACCCACCAGGTAGCCTTTGATGAATCACATAGTCTCAGCCACAGAAAATCCCATGACATGTTCACCTTAGTGTCCCCATAAGTTGAAAACGGCTTGAAGACACCCAACAACAAAGCACAGATATATCTTTGGTGGAGTGTCTACAGGTGGTGAGACCATATAACTGAGACTTAGGACCTTATCACATTAGTAAAATTACCCATCCTAGAACACTTGACTGATGCAGCCAGCACGGAGCCCGCCAGATCCCATCGCATGACGTACAGCTACTTCTAGCGGGCAAGTGTTTTATGGAGGGGTATTCCTAACTTGGGAGACTACCCATATTCAGATTAGCAATCATGGGGATAGCCCAGGAGCATGCTGGAAAGGTACGGTTTCCGGTGTGTGATGGGCAAGCAGGTGATGCAGAGTGCTGGACAACAGATTTACACTGCTGCCCCATGATTTGCCCCTCTGCCCAATGGATTGCCCCTCTGTCCCTCGCATCAAGGACCTCCATGTGATGAGGACCTTAGTTCCAGAGCATGGAAAATTACAATTTTGTACTATAATTTCTAAAATGCCCACATGGAAAGACTGGCTGGGGAATGTTAGTTTGTGGTAGACAAATAACTTTTCTAAGGTCTGGTTACTTCTCGATCAGAATTTGAAATTGTATCAAAATAATTCAGGGTTAATGCTTTAAAAGTGATCACTTTACATTTTGATGAATTTGTTTTGTTTTGTTTTGTTTTCAAACAGGCACTAGGAAGTTTTTATTTTCTACATGAATCCTTGAAAAATATTTACCAGTTTGATTTTAAAGGTAAGTGTACCGCAAAAAAGGTGAAAAAGGCTACAGGCCTATAGAAGCTGAAAATAAGTCCCACCACACTCACTGTTAGTATTCCAATGCAAATGCACAGGACTATGCTTTAACAGTTTCACTATCATGTGCTGCATGATATTTGAAAGGACAGTTTTACCCTGCTTTTAATGGTCTGTTTTCCCACATCTTGAAGGGGACAACTGAGTTTGCTGCTTACATTATACTTGATGGTGAGCTCCAAACCCAGATTTCTGTAGAGTGAATCTTTATAACGTCTATAATCACACTTCCAGTCTTTTAAATATATAGCAGAAGGAACATTAGAAAGACCATTTACTTTTTTGCTTTTGGTGGGGTATTATTGGCGTTATAAATGCATGATGAATGAATGTTGGTTGATTCATTTTACTAATACTCACAACAATAGATGTTACTGCTGCCAATAGTACAAACTAGGTAAAGTACAGTTTAGAGCCTTGTACTGGCAGCTAAGAGAGAAGAATATGTGCTTGTTATGTTCAAATAACTGGAGCAAGACATCCTCTGGTTCCTCCAGAGGACCTCTGGGAGGTCCTGAGGATTCCTGAATTTTTGTGGACTGACAAAATACAGCAATGGGCAATCCTTCTTGCTTGTCTCAACCTCCATCTTCTAGGGGAAAAATGTGACACCCCCCCCCCACAAGAAAATCATTGAAAACTATACCAGTTTTGAAAACATTGTATGTTGAAGGCTTTCATGATCAGAATCACTGGGTTGTTGTAGGTTTTTTGGGCTGTATGACCATGTTCTAGAAGCATTCTCTCCTGATGTTTTGTCTGCATCCATAGCAGGCGTCCTCTCACCTCTGCAGGAGTCTACCGTACACCATGCAGCTTTGGACAGGTCTACATAGGGACCACTGAACGCAGCAGCACACAAACACGAATCAAGGAACATGAAAGGCACTGCAGACTACTTCTAGCAGAGAAGTCAGCCATAGCAGAGCACCTGATGAATCAACCTGGACACAGCATATTATTTGAGAACACAGAAATGCTGGACCACTCTAACAACCACCATGTCAGAATACACAGAGAAGCCATTGAAATCCACAAGCATGTGGACAATTTCAACAGAAAGGAAGAAACCATGAAAATGAACAAAATCTGGCTACCAGTATTTAAAAAAACCTCTAAAATTATAAGAGTAAATAAGGAACAAAACTCAAACACAGGGGAACTCCACACAAGAAACAACCAGGAACAGCTAATCATCTCTCAACAAAGGATTCCCCCAGGCAGTAACAAACCACACCTAAAAACTGTCAGGCCATTAAATGCTAATCAAGGTGGCCAATTGAAACATTAACACCTAGCTCCACAGACAAGAGTTCTTTATCCCATCCTGAACTTTCCAGATATATAAACCCAATTTTCCTAGTTTCCAACAGACTTCACAACCTCTGCAGATGTCTGCCATAGATGCAGGTGAAACATCAGGAGAGAATGCTCCTAGAACATGGCCATACACCCTGAAAAACCTACAACAATCCTTTGAAAACATTTCCTTATTCTTACTATTCTTCAAATTACTTACTATCCCATGTGAGAATGAAAAATCTAAGCAAGCGCATCCCTAATGTGAAAGAACTGTGAGAAAACTACATTGCTTGGGGTATTGAGAAATGTCTGCACTAATTTCAGTCTAAAAATTTCAAGAGCTTTGTATCACTTATTGAGACAGGTCATATCAATTTTGTATTTTTGCCCCACATTTATGTGAGACATCATTGAAATTGTAAGAGAACTAATTGTCTAAATTGTTCGGTTTCATTATTCTTGTTCTTACCCAAGATAGATTGCCCCCTTTCTGGTAATTGAGGGTAGGCTGGGGGGTGAGAGGTGTCTGTCTTTAGTGAAGGATTTGAACAGCCATTTTGTGCGTATTCCATTTCAAGGTAACTATCATAAATCCTTCCACTCATCATCTTTTCAATGTTTAAGTAAAAAAAAAAATCTTGGGTATAATGTCAGAGATTCATCAGAGAGGATTCTGTTCCTGAAAGAGAGCAATGTAAATTGCCGCAGTGATATACAAAGTTTTTAATGAGAAATTAAGTTCTCTATCCACCCATTTTCTTCAGTTGTTATAATTTAATGGTTGCTAATCCATAAAATAGGTTATTCTTAATCAAATGAACTGTGGAGACACCCAGTATATGCACTTTGGTTTTAGTGCTATGTCTGGATTTTGTATTTGATTACTTTCACCACCAATTTCAACCTTCACCCTGGTAAAGGTCAACTTCGCTCCCCATACTTCCCCACTGTCAGCTGCTATGAAGCATCAGGAGGGCCAACCAAACATTGTGTGCCAACATTACCAGTATCCCGTGGCAGGGAATACCAAAATCTGGAATGCTGCAAATCAAGATTCTGGCTTTTCACAAACTCTGTTGGAAGTTTTAATGGTTCATCTCGACATACAATACAGAGAAAGGGCAAGAGGCCACTATAGACAATAATATAATCCAATAACATAAATCATATGAATGTTTTTCATATATATGCTATAGTCATAGAGTATTCAATGTACAAACAAAGCTTGTCGAAGTATTCCTTGTAGGTCCACTTCTTCGTTGATATTTATATATTAATTCACTTGGAGAACTCTCACAAACTACCACCTGAGGAAGACGCTATACCGGGGTCCTCAAACTCCAGCCCAGGGGCCGGATACGGCCCTCCAAGGTCATTTACCGGCCCTCACTCATGATCAACCTAAGTCTGAAATGACTTGAAAGCACACAACAACAATCCTATCTCATCAGCCAAAAGCAGGCCCACTTCCCATTGAAATACTAATGTTTATATTTGTTAAAATTGTTCTTCATTTTAATTATTACATTGTTTTCAAGTGTTTTTGCACTACAAATAAGATATGTGCAGTGTGCATAGAAATTCATTCATTTTTTTTTCAAATTATAATCCGGCCCTCCAACAGTTTGAAGGACTTTGACCTGGCCCTCTGCCTAAAAAATTTGAGGACTCCTGCTCTACACAGTCGAAACCGGTCGTGGTTAATAAGGACTTACAAACTTTGATTCATAGGATTGGATTTACAACCTATGATTTACATAGTCCTCCATGTGGAACGTGAACATTATGTGATATTGGACTCACAACCCTTGGTTATAAGAGATATGCTTTCTATGAGTATGTTTGTTTGTAATACATTGACCACTTCCCTTTGGATTCTGCTTTGAGAATCATTTGTCTGCACCATGTAAGGAAGATTTTGTGTTAAGAGACTTGTATTTTGAATCATTGTGTAGTATACTTTGAACTTCGATAAGCTTTGTTTGTACATTGAATGCTCATCTCGACATACACCAGCATCCTCCATTCATGAGGCAACAGTGAGCAAGGGCCAGCATGCATTTGGCTGAGCTTAGTGAACTGAAGAAGTAGCAGCTGGAACAGCCACCTCATTGATTGCATTTTATATAACGATGTTGGCACATATTTGTTGGGTTGAACATATCATCGTACACAACATACACCAGGAGCAGTATATTCTATCTATCTATCTATCTATCTATCTATCTATCTATCTATATATATATATATATATATATATATACACATATATATAAGTTATTCAGAACTAAAATTGTAACTGGATGTTATGGGCTGGAAACTGGGAAGTTTATATATGAGGAAAACAAATTGAAGTAAAAGCATGTCCATTTCGTAAAATATTCCTTGTGATTGTGAATATTGTGCTTATTGTATTTATAGGTGTTATGTATTTTACTGTGTTGTTGCTTATGTTTTGGTTTTTATTTTATTGTAATTTCTGTTTGGGCTTGGCCTCATGTAAGCCGCCCCGAGTCCCCATTGGGGGAGATAGTTATTATTATTATTATTATTATTATTATTATTATTATTATTATTATTAAAAGATGGGTAACAAACTAGAAGCAAACCCTGGGATATTTCATGTTGTAAAAACACTGTTTCTGGGGCTAAAATGGCCCAAGTGTCCCATAAATATGTCAAATATACTCTAGAATACAATTGTGGGGGAAATTTGATATATATATATATATTGGAGGAGTTGAGGCAGTAAATACAGTCCTACAAAGTCTTCTAAGGGTCTTCCCTCTGACAGTTGCCCATCTCTGGTCTATACCCACAGAGTCTACAATTACATAAATGGTAATTCTAGTTACACTATGGAATGGCAGGGGATATTTAGTCTTAACACAATCCCCCTACTCCTCTTATCCCCATCATTATCTAGTTTTATAGAGTGGCCTTCAACTATTACTGAGAGTGTGCATCAAGAAATGTGCTGCTTATATCAAGAAGCTGCATCTCTGAGGCTACATCTCTTGATGCTAACCCCCTTAAGTCCATCTTTTAAGCAGTTTTGCCCCTCAACATGGCAATTTCCATACTGTCAGAGAGCAGCTGTAATCAATGAAAATGTGTTTAGTCATTTTCCTGTAGCTGAACATTCCTGCAGATGATGTTCTAGCGGTGCCTCCAGAAACAGAAAAATGGCTGGATATTTATTTGTTTATTATTTATTTGCCACATTTATATCCCACCCTTCTCACCCGGGAAGGGGACTCAAGGTGGCTCACAACAAAGACACTTGGGGGGGGGGGGCATCACCGTCCCCACTGCAATTTTGACTTCCACTGTGACCAAAAAATGGGATTGTTTATGCTATTCGAATTCAATAACAGATTACCAGGCCATATCTCTATGGAGCAAAAACTGCTTACTTTAGTCGCCATTTATTGCATTTATTCTTTCTGTTGTATGCTAGGACCTAGCTGCAGCAACAGAGATCTGCTAAATCTCTCTTTTTCTTCTTTCTAGCTAAGAAGTATAAAAAAGTTACGGGGAAAGAAATCTATTCAGATACGTTAGAAAGTACACCTATGTTGGAAAAAGAAAAGTTCCCACTGGATTATTTCCCAGAGGTAAGAATAAAGAACTGGAAATTTCACAGGATAGAGGGCATGTTTGTGATCTTATTTGTACTAGTGAACTGGTTGAACTGATTCATAGATTGTTTTGCTGTAATGAGATGTAATACTACAACCAGTTTTTAAAGGTTAGATTATTAAACATTATATCTATTATTGGTAGGCAAGATAGCATAGTTCCGGAGCTGGTCCCAAATTTAGAACAGGGTCATATAGTTATGGTTATCCTTAAGATTACCTGATCTCCAAAATTGTAGGATTTCAAGACCATAGTCATTGTGCCCAGAAACAGAAGAAAGTAATGGGAGCAGCACAAAAATGCTTACACAGATATTCTTGGAGTCCCCCCCGGTGTAGCCGTGGGTTAATCCCTTGTGCTGGTAGAACTGAAGGCTGACAGGTCGGAGGTTCGAATCCGGGGAGAGCGCGGATGAGCTCCCTCTGTCATCTCCCGCTCTCCATGCAGGGACATGAGAGAAGCCTCCTACAAGTATAGTAAAACATCAAAACATCAGGGCGTCCCCTGGGCAACGTCCTTGCAGACAGCCAATTCTCTCACACCAGAAGCGACTTGCAGTTTCTCAAGTTGTTCCTGACACACACAAAAAGAACAAATATTCTTAACGTCATTCTTTGTAGTAACTGAAATTTCCAAACTACTTCAGTCTATGGCCTTGTTTCTTGAGGATGGGTTGAATGCAACCATTGAGAACCAATTGTATGGTCCCAACCAAGGGTTTTCTCAACTTTTCATCTCAACTTTTTTTTGCATAATCCATCCTAGAACTTGAAATCAGTGCAGAATTTCTGCCAATTCCTGTATATTGGTTGCAGGAAAAGAGGTAGAGTTGTGTGTCCACCATATGCTGGTGATACTCCTTCTCAAAGCTATGGATTTATTTATTTATTAACTTCATTTCTATACCGCTTTTCTCACCACTGGGGGGACTCAAAGCGGTTTACAACATAATAAATGGCAAATTCAGTGCCTCGCATATCTACAAAAGTATCACATATCCAAATCAATAACATATAACTGTAGAAAATAGCCATTAAAACTATAAAAACATCAAATATAGACATAAGCACAAAACATATTATTGATGAAATTAACAATGTAGACCCTTCTCTACCCCCCCCCCACACTCTCTCCATAGCGTTTCAGCCCTTCTTTTTTATGCCCTCCCTGCTCCCCACCATCCCACCAGACACAAAGTTATTTAGTTACAGATTGAATATGAAATGGGGAGGGTAAAAAGAAAACACATCCTGGGCCTTCTTGGGGTAAATGTGATATGTGTCCTTGGGGTTGGCAGAGGGAGAGACTTATCTGATGATGGCAGTAGACTACTGGTCAGTTTTGTAAAAGGCCAGAGGAACATATATTTTATCAGTTGTGATGTCATAAGTCAGGCGTGAGCTATCACTTGCCAGTAGACTGAGGATGGAGAGTGTAGCTGCTGCCGAGGAGAGTTGGTGTGCAGGCTGCACCTTCCACTCTGGAGGAGCCAAAGTCTCCTGCCCCTCCTTTTAACTTCCTCCTTGGCAGCAGCTGGTGGCAGCAAGGTGTAGCTGCTGCTGAGGAGAGTTGGTATGTAGGCTACACCTTCCACTCTGGAAGAGCCAAGTCTCCTGCCCTCCTTTTAACTTCCTCCTTGCCGGCAGCTGGTAGGAGGGGGGAGGAACATGTAGCTGCTGCCGAGAAGAGTTGGTGTGCAGGCTGCACCTTCTACTCTGGAAGAGCCAAGTCTCCTGCCCATCTTTTAACTTCTTCCTTGCCGGCACCTGGTGGGAGGGGGCAGCAAGGTGTAGCTGTTGCCGAGGAGAGTTGGTGTGTATGCTGCACCTTCCACTCCGGAGGAACCAAGTCTCCTGCCCTCCTTTTAACTTCTTCCTTGCTGGCACCTGGTGGGAGGGGGCAAGAAGGTGTAGCTGCTGCCGAGGAGAGTTGGTGTGTAGGCTGCACCTTCCACTCTTCCAAGAGTTGCAGAGGGTTTTGGTATTGTTTGAGGCCCACCTTCTTGGTTTTACAGTCTGAACCAGAACGGTCAGCTTTTTGCATCAGATCAGAAAGTAAACACATTTGGTTTTCTAGGAGCAACATAGAGCTTTCCCCTACCCACTTGATCTATATTTCAGTCAAACAGCTTTTACTGTTAGGAAGGTCTTCCTAATGTTTTGGTAAAATCTCTATTCCTGTAGTTTGAATCAATTGCTCCATGTCCTAGTCTCAGGAGCAGCAGAAAACAATCTGGCTCCATCTTTAACAAGTTTATGATGATGCTTGTGTAGAGCAAGGCTCATTGAGTTTTATGGGACTAACTCCCAATTAAATGTGTAGTGACGCTGGTGCCTTAATAAACTGTACTTTACCACGGCTGTTTTGTATAACTACTTGTAAATATTTACATCAACTTTACATTATTCTGTGTTTATACTCTCTCTAATGCAACATTTATGTTCTTTGGAGGAGTGGGATGGTGTGCCCTTAGTTAAGACTGATTCCTTTCCTTTTTATTACTGCCGCTTAAGGATGATCTAAAAGTAATTACAATGATTGAGGCATAATGCCATTCAAAATAATTACAGCCCACTGCATATAAAAGTAACAAAACTTTCTGTGCTGATTTATGGCTTCTCTTGGCTGTGCATGAATCTCAAACGATGCCGTTGGGAGCAACACTCCAGATAATGTTAGGTCATTTTTAAAAAGCAGATTTGTGTAGTCTATCAGGGCTGAGTAATTTTCCCCCCTCCGTCGTGAGAAATAGGTTGTTATCATAGATCACCGATACTGCTCAAAGCTCTTGTGAAAGATGAATTAATTTCACTAATGCTTTAATGCAAACCTTTCATGGAGAAGGCTGTATGGTGATAACCTTACCGCAGACTCTCCTTTCTCAATGATGATTTATGTTGTCTTTTAGTAGATGAAACTGCCTGTATTCACAATCTGTCTGCTGGCTAAAGGAATCTTATTAACAGGAAAACTGGGGAGAGACTTAATATTGTATAAGGTGAAAGATGCTGATCTCATTTCTTGGGGCATTGAGGTGCTATATTCTAAAATCTAGATAACACCTTATTGAAGACTACAGATAATTTGAACAGCTTGGATGTTAGGCGTCAGTTCACAAGAAGGTGGTTGTTGTTATTTTCTGAGAAAAATCACTGCATTGAAACATGTGGACAGAAGTGGTAACATAAAGTATCTTAATAAAGGGATGGATTAATATCAAATGTGATGCGGCAGCAAAAAAAGCCAATGGGATTTTGGCATGCATCAATAGGAGTCTAGTGTCTAGATCCAGGGAAGACATGCTACCCCTCTATTCTGCCTTGATCAGACCACATCTGGAATATTGTATCTAATTCTGGGCACCACAATTGAAGAGAGATATTGACAAGCTGGAATGTATCCAGAGGAAAGCGACTAAAATGATCAAGCGTTTTGAGAACAAGCCCTATGAGGTGCGGCTTAAAGAGTTGTGCATGTTTAGCCTGAAGAAGAGAAGGCTGAGAGGAGACATGATGGCCATATATAAATACGTGAGAGGAAGTCATAGGGAGGAGGGAGCAAGCTTTTTTTCTGCTGCCGTGGCGACTAGGACGCGGAACAATGGCTTCAAATTACAAGAAAGGAGATTCCACCTGAACATCAGGAAGAACTTTCTGACTGTGAGATCTGTTCAGCAGTGGAACTCTCTGCCCCGGAGTGTGGTAGAGGCTCCTTCTTTGTAAGCTTTTAAACAGAGGCTGGATGGCCATCTGTCAGGGGTGCCTTGAATGCAATTTTCCTGCTTCTTGGCAGAATGGGGTTGGACTGGATGACCCATGAGGTCTCTTCCAACTCTTAAGATTCTATTATTCAAAGCCAGAAAGACTTCTTCTGCCTGATTCCCTATTAGATCTAAACCAGGCTGAGTAGACTGTAGCCTGCAGTCTACATGTAGCTCCCCATCAGAGGTGGCCCTAGGTAATTTTCAACGGTAAGCAAACAGTATATTGGCGCCCCCCCCCCCCAGCCAATCACTGATATATATTTTCTGTTCGTCATGGGAGTTCTGTGTGCCATATTTGGTTTAGTTTCATCATTGGTGGAGTTCAGAATGCTCTTTGATTGTAGGTGAACTATACATCCCAGTAACTACAACTCGCATATGTCAAGGTCTGTTTTCCCCTAAGAGCGCCTCAAGAGCGCCCCTGGGCAAAATCGACTATACTGCAAATGCTTACTTTGCGTAATGGTTGAACCCCCCCTGCTCCCCATTTTCCCTCGTGTAGTTCCCCAACCAAACAATTCCTTTTGTTTCCAAAAAAAAAGTATTGACAGAATTTCCCCTCCACAACATTTAAAGACCTTGGGAGGCAATTTGACCTTATATTAGACCTCTTGACTTGAAGTCAATCACACACCGCCACTCAGAATTGTAATGCACTCCATTCAGCACCGAACCTATAAGTGCAAATTTGTATTGGAAATTAACATTATGTAACAAAATTTGAAAAAATTCTGTATCCTGGTTTGAAAGTGTTATTTCCTATTTGATTGTGCGATACTTACTTTGAAAGTAGTTGTTATAATCCAGAAACACCACAAACTATGTTGAATTGGTTGAAACTATGGGATTCGTTGAAAAACAATGTGCTGCAGGATGTCCTGCAAAAACAAAGTTTTTGCAGTTTAATAAACTTTTCTATATTTTTATGATAGAACCAATTAGGAATTGACATTTATAACCCAGGAACAAAAAGTGTGTTGCATAGTGTAATTTTCATTCATTGAATACTCACTTTTTAACGCTTTTGTTACCAGTAGGAATTGATTGAGCCAGCATTATGTAGCTATTTGGGTATTGGACTAGGACACTGGAAACCAACTTTTAAATCCCTGCTTCAGTCATGATACTCATTGGGTGATCTTGGGCAAGTCATGTTCTTTCAACCTTAGATGAAGACAAGGACAAACCACCTCTGAACAAATATTGTCATCCCCCCCTCCCCCCACACACACACATACACACACACTCCTCCAAAAATCATGATAGTTTCACCTTAGGGGTCACCATAAGTTGGGAACAATTGAAGAGACACAACATTAATAATAAGGAATAGATTCATATGATCCTCATGCTTTCTGTCAGCCATGGAATGCTTCTGAGCAAAGATCTGATCTACAGCAAATGAAAAACCATTGTCAGTATTCAATCATTTGCTTCTGCCAGCAGGGTTTGAAAGGGTAGAACACCTTCTCCTCCTCAGAGGAGTAACTTTCTAGAAATGTTTCCGTGTCAGTGGCCCTCAAAATTCAGGGCTGCTTTGGAATAGCAACATTGGCAGGCTGAGTATCCAGTCAGGCTAAATCTGATTCTGCCCTGCTGGATGCTGAGCCTTACTTTTGTCATAGTTTGTCACTGCAGCAGCAGCCACAAAGCTCCAGAGAGCTCCTGGTCATTGCTTGATGCTCCTGCGAATGTCAACAAAAGCTGTGTGATTTGGTGATCCCCCTTTTATCTCAAAGTTGTGTAGGCACCTTTGCTGATAAAGGTAAAGGTGCCCAGTGGCAGCCAGAAGTTCTCAAGAGTTCTGTGGCTGCTGCTACAGTGACAAACAATGCTAAAGGTATGTTCCATCTTCTTTCCTCTTCCTTTCTTAGGCTATCTCTCATTGTCTGAGTAAGATTGTCCTCCAAGTTCAGTGTCCTGGCTGTGGGTCTGTAGGTGACTGTAGAGCCCTATTCTTGACCTGCATGTTCTCCCGCAGTGAGGGCATTGGTTTCCAGGTGGAAGGCGGTTCCGGTCGGGGTTGGCTTGACACGCCTTCCTCTTGGCACACTTCTCTCTTTCACCCTCCATTCATGCCTTTTCAAATTTTACAGCACTGCTGGTCACAGCTGACCTCCAGCTAGAGCGCTAAAGGGCCAGGGATTCCCAGTTCTCAATGTCTATGCCACAATTTTTAAGGTTGGCTTTGAGCCCATCTTTAAATCTCTTTTCCTGTCCTCCAACATTCCATTTTCCGTTCTTGAGTTCAGAGCACAGGGAAAACAGGATGGTGGCACTGGCCCACATGCATAGCATAACTGGTTCCAAATTAAAAATGACCCAATTCACATCACTACAGAGCATTCTCCCACTTTTCGTAACACAGGGTAAAATCAGGTTAGAGCTGGTTGACTATATGGTCAGTTGCTTTTTATTTCGTGGGGGTGAGAAGTTCTACACACAAAGCATTTCTATTTGAACATAAGAGGATCCTGGAGGTTTCTGTCAGTATTCCTCCCATGATATGTGCTCTCCCCACTTTCTTCATGCCATATCCCCTGCTGTTTAAGAGGGTCTCTTCGCTTTGAAGAATGGCTGAAGATGGAGAAGGCTTTGTTGTTGTTGTTTATTCATTCAGTTTCTTCCGACTCATTGTGAATACATGGACCAGCCCACGCCAGAGCTCCCTGTCGGCTGCCACCACCCCCAGCTCCTTCAGAGTCAAGCCAGTCACTTTAAGGATACCATCCATCCATCTTGCCCATAGTCGGCCCCTCTTCCTTTTTCCTTCCATTTTCCCCAGTATCATTGCCTTCTCTAAGCTTTCCTGTTTTCTCATGATGTGGCCAAAGTACTTCTTCTTTGCCTCTACTATCCTTCCCTCCAATGAGCAGTCGGGCTTTATTTCTTGGACTGGTTGGATCTTCTTGCAGTCCAAAGCACTCTCAGAATTTTCCTCCAACACCACAATTCAAAAGCATCTATCTTCCTTGAGAATATAATAGAAGCAAATAGTTAGAAAAGGCCTGTACTTTTCTGGATCCAAAACTTAAACATATTTGTTCTAAATTCTGTTTTGATATTTCACAGTGCATTGTATAGTTTCCATTCCTACTATGGCCTTAATAATAATAATAATAATAATAATAATAATAATAATAATAATAATCTTTATTTATACCCCAATGGGGACTCGGAGCGGTTTACATGAGGCCAAGCCCAGACAACAATTACAATTAAAAAATACTGAAAACACAAACCGAAAACGCAAACAATAAACAACAACATCATAATTACATAAAACATGTGAATACATAACAATTAAAAATACAATAAGCACAAGCACAATAGCAATGGGCAGGCTACATGTAATGATTAAAAGACGAGCTAATTAAAGCTAAATTAAATAAAATATTGGCATTGGAATTGACTTGTTGTTGAACTGATCTTTCTACAGTACTCTGGGATTCTTAAAGGATAATATGTACTTATTTGATGTATAAAATAAATAGTTTAGAATCTATCTTTAGAAATACACATTTTAAAAAATAAGCCAACAAAACACATTCTAACTCACACCCCAGATCTCTATTTTTGTCTGCGAAGTAAATTTGTGATCACCTTCCATAGACAGGGGAGAAGAATGCTTTTTTATTCCCACCCTACCATCGCTTGTCATGGTTTGATTTGTGTCGGGGATGGAGCATTGCTTACTTTGATTAATGGAATGTCACACCAGAGATGCCTTGGCTAGTTGAGCCCCACGAAAGAGGAATGGCCTACTTCACTTGTGCTTCCCCAGTATATTTGTTGCTTTATATTTTAGGAAAATTGACAAGGGAGGACATCTATGGATGATTGACAGTAATTCATTATGGTTGTGAATGGTAATATTGTGATATATGCAAAGGTGACCACCACTTTGTCATTTCCCTTTCAGTTTCAAAAAAGACAAATAAGCCTATTTTCTTAACAATTAAAGAAGCAGTTAAGGTAGTTAGTTAGTAAAGCAAAAGCATCAAATTGCTCTTAAGCCCATAAGGCATTGGTGTTTGGGTCTGGTTTTCTATGTGCATACTGCACATGGGCCACAAGACACTGATTTCCACAGAAAAGAAAAGGAAGGGTGATACAAGGAATTTAATCCGTATTAACTCACTGGACAATGATCTGGATCATACATAAGATTAACACAGATAGTCTGAAGTTATATACCAGGAAGGGTACCAGTGAAGTTGGTGAAGAATGGGCTTTTGTCATCGCTGTAACTCTTATGGAGCCACACCAGTATTCTTTCCAACCAATATTCAGCCTGTGGGGCATGGTGCAAATCTGTTTAGCTCCTGGATGAGTTCTGAGGTCAAAAATACTGTTTTACAACAGTGTCAAGCCTTTTTATTTTGGTGTTTTGGAGCAAAATACCTATGTGAATTTTTAAAAATCTGAGGGCTTTGAGAGGGCTTTAAGGACTCCAAAACAGGAGCTCTCAGGGTGCATTTTCTCCCACTCTTGCTGTACACGGATCACCAGAAGTAAACCTCTTTAAAGTCTTATTTACTTACTTTGAAGTCTTGTTTACTTACTTCCAAGTAAATCTCTTTGAAGTCTTATGTACTTATTTTCAAGTCACCGGTAAGTTGATGTCACTCTGAGAAGTAAAATATGACACATGCTATTCTAAATTATGGGTTTTCTTCAAAATGCTCATATAAGGTTTATGGGGCAGTAGATGGGTGATTAACTTCTTGCATTAGATTATCCCCTGAAAAACGATGCATATTCCTGTTTTCTTTTCCCAGCCAGGCTTGAAGTCTTATTGTGAGAAAGAGACCAGGTTTTAGGATATTTTTTTTCGTGTCAGAAGCGACTTGAGAAACTGCAAGTCACTTCTGGTGTGAGAGAATTGGCCATCTCCAAGGATGTTGCCCAGGGGACACCCAGATGTTTTTGATGTTTTATCATCCTAGTGGGAGGCTTCTCTTATGTCCCCACATGGGGAGCTGGAGCTGACAGAGCTCTCCCCGGATTCGAACCTCTGACCTGTCGGTCATCAGCCTGCCGGCACAAGGGTTTAACCCATTGTGCCTCCTTATTTAGGAGATAACTACCCTGTTTCCCTGAAAATAAGACATCACCTGAAAATAAGACATAGAGCAGCGTTTCTCAACCTGGGGGTTGGGACCCCTGGGAGGTCTCAAGAGGGTTTCAGAGGGGTTGAAAAGACCACCAAAAATCACATATTTCTGATGGTCTTAGGAACCCCTTTGGCAGAGAAGGCTGAAGATTTCTCTGCCTGTCCTTCTCTTCCTTTTTTTGGAAACAGATGGCAAGTCCTCCCACCAAAAGCCCTCCTCCACTGTGATTGACCAGAGGACTGTTTCTGAGACTCCAAGTGGGGAGGGAAAAGCAGGTGTGTAGTGTGGTGCACATGTGTCTTTGGTGATCCTTCTGACATCCCCTCACGACACCCCCACCCCCCAGTTGAGAAATGCTAGCTTAAGGCCATCCAGTCCAACTCCCTTCACCAGGGCAAGAAAACATAATCAAAGTCCTCCTGACAAAGAGCCATCCAGCCATAGATATAGATATAGATAGATAGATATGATTCACACACACACACATGTATATGGCAGATACAGTATCACAGATTTGAAAGGGACCCCTAACGAGGAACAATTATATGTTGTATATAGGCAAACCAAACAATCTCTACATCAACACTGGCAAAGAAACAACAAAAAAATACTGTTTACCCACAAACACAAAGAAATAACATATATTAAAAACCAGCACTTGCTCATTCCTTTATTTTCCAGATCACTAGACTGGGCCACAGCAACGCGTGGCAGGGGACGGCTAGTATATTTTATATAACTTATCATCAGACAACTTGCTGTATTTTGATGTATTTATATTGCATTTATTATACTTTTCAGTGCAAATGGTCCAGAAAAGGATTCATACGAACGAGGTGGTGTATTACTGACTGGTAGGTAATCTGAAAATTGTTTGATTTTTTTCCCTCCAAAGTGCTGTATTGTGCTTGCTATATTTTATATTGCTCAAGCCTATTGTGTACTGATTTGCAGGACAGCAGCCAACCCGTTACTACAAAAGTGATAAGTATATAATATTTTTTGTAAAATTTTGTGTCATTTACAAGTAGTGTGATTTAAGTATGTGATTTAACAATCTTGTTTCCAGTCGAATCACATGACTTTCCAGTAGGGGGACATTCATCTAAGTTGATCTAATTCTAGTACATAAGCAATAAAATATTACATCTATTATGTCATTGGTGACTCTCAATTTATATTATTAATGTTACTGTATTTCTTCAATTTTAAGACATGTTTTTCTTATATAGACATCTCTGAAAATTAGGTGCATCTTAGAATTGCAGGTGTATCTTACGTATTTTGGTTGGTGCTGGTGGTGGCACTGAAATTAGGGTGCATCTTAAAATTCAAGAAACATGGTATTATCATTATTATTTAGCTATATACCCATGTTTCCCATGATAGTTCTAGTATGTCACAGATTCTCAGCCTGGTCCATTCATCAATAGACAGGTTCTTATACTTAGTGGATCAATAAATAGTCTTTAGTTGACCCATAAACTGGCTGCACACATGCCTTTTTCCTTGGTTTCCTTTCTGGGAACTCCCCATCCCTTTCCCCCAGTCTTAGTAAACTCAGTGGCCCCCTTTTTTATTTTTTGTTACATGAAGGAAATCAATCAAAACAATATTAAAATATATTTCCTGCAAAATTTTGTGTGTGTATCTTTATGTGAGCCCACTGGTGATGCAGTGGGTTAAACCACTGAGCTGCTGAACTTGCTGATCGAAAGTCGGTGGTTTGAATCTGGGGAGCGGGGTGAGCTCCCACTGTTAGGCCATCTTCTGCCAATCTAGCAATGGAGAACATGCAAATGTGAGTAGATCAATAGGTACTTCTTCTGCAGGAAGGTAACAGCGCTCCTTGCAGTCATGCTGGCCACATGACCTTGGAGGAGTCTATGGGCAACACCGTCTCTTAGGCTTAGAAATGGGGATGACCACCGCCTCCCAGAGTTTGACACGACTAAACTTAATGTCAGGGGAAACATTTACCTTTACCTTATCTTCATGTGGAATCTTCTAAGGAAAACGCACACAGTTTTTCAGAGGAGTCCACCATCCCCAAAAAGCGTTGAGATATGTTGCAATAGATAGCAGAATAATCACAAATACGGTTGTAATTTCATTTTGTAGTGCATGATTGCATATTGACACACGAACGTTTACACCAAATTCAGATGGAATGTCAAACCAAAATGCAAACTGAATTTCACACCATGGTTTCAGATGCTACTTTGCCGTTTCCAATCGATTTGATTTTCACTTAGAAGCAAGTTGCACTAACTTAGCATGATTTAGCAGTGTCTCTAAATTGGGTCAGGGAAAGAAGAGAAAAACTTTGTGTGCAGCATTTTATATCTGCTTTCTATTTTTGTCATAGTTTTGGAAATAATTCATTTTAATAAATTAGTGTTTCCCTCCTTTTTAAAATAAAAGATACTTTTACAAATGACCACAATGGATTTAATGAGTTATTGTATCCATTAACATTTTCACGGGATCAACAATTAGTAGTTCCTCGCAAGAATGTAGAAGTAATAGATGAAGCGGTGTCTGTTACTTAACTTTTTTCCCCCGAAGTGTTGGGCATATTTATTTTCTGATAGTTTTCTGATTTTTTGGTTTGTTCAATTGCATATTCCGTAATGTTGATGTTTATGATTTTAAAATGATAAAAGTGGAAAACAACTATAATAAGTATACAATGATAGAGCTGGATTCTGGTCATTTTTATTTGCACCCAACACTTTTTTTACAGGAGTTTTAACAGTAAAGTATTCTAATCCATGAAAGATCAACTTGTTGTGCTGCAAGGCTGAATGTTTTCCCTGTTTGCCGTTTGTGCTTACTTGTATTCTGAGTCAGTCTTCTCTTCCTTTTGTCACAGTGCCTTTGACTTGGTAAACATTCATCTTTTCCATGATGCTTCCAATTTAGTTGCTTGGGAAACAAGCCCATCGCTTTACTCAGGAATAAGGCATAAGGCCCTTGGTTATGTACTTGACAGGTAGGTAGAATGCTCTCTTGGCTTCTTTTGTTGCCTTGCATTTCAATGTTGCCAATCCAAGGAAAGACAATCAATTAACATTTTTTAATAAAAAAGAAGCTTAAAATTACAAGCTAGACATTCTAGAGTGCCAACTGATTTGGTAGGTGTTTCACTCTTTCTAAAGGTATATGCAAGTTATTCTTTTGCTGAAAAGCAAAGGATAAATTGGGACTTTCAAACTGTTTCTGCCATTCACCAGCTTCCTTAAAAATACCATTCAATATATAAGAAGTTTCTAAGGTTGACAATTATGAAAATCGATCAGCATTATGTAGACGACATTCTTTCCCACCAGAAACTACTTGCAGTTTCTCAAGTTTCTCCTAACACAGAAAAAAATGCAGTAACCTAAATATTTTTGAAATATTTTGATCATTGTCTCTCCTTGCTTGTTAAGAATCTCTTCCAGCCCATAATCGAGCTCATAACCCTAGGATTAATCATTTAGTAGATTGTTTTCTGAATTCAAATGTGGAGATAGTTTTATTTCAGTTGTCTGTGATGTTGATGGACTGTCTCCTCCTCCTCCTCTAATCCATTGGGCCATTAGTCTTTGTGGTTTAATATTATAAAGGGAAAATGCTCAGGCTCTCTTAAAGTTGAGAAATATAATGTGTTCATGAGGGTGCAATCTTGCTTCAGAACTACATAAGACTAGGGCCCACCTGGACCAACATTCTTTGCCAGAAACCTGGCAACCAACAAGCACTAGGTGGTCTACCAGAAATTGCTCAGTGGTCAACTGACGGGTCACAATTGACCCTGTCTCCACCTTTCTGTACTGAATGTCATGTTAGGCTGCTGAACGGATCAACTAAGATGACTTTATGTGTCCATGGTAATATCTTTCAAAGAGAAAGAGCTTTTAAAAAACCCAATCTGGGATTTATTTATGTTACATCTGCCTTTGTTGTGGTGGTGTAAGGAAGCTGACAACCCTATAGAGCATTGGGTATTATTTAAGATTCTCTGTCTGTTTTCTTTGGATGTTTTAGGAAATTGTCTGTTTCCAATCCTGTTAGTTGTAGGTCAAAGATGTCAGGGTGGTATATCATTTCAGCGTGACAGTGCCAAAATCAGACCTTTTCAAAAAGAAAACCCACAGTTTTAGGTGGCACTACCACTGTGGGTTAGTATTCACATAGATTGCTTGTTTTTAAGAGAGCAGCCAGCCACAGATCCGGACCTCCATAGTGAAAATGATGGGCTGGCCGGCACAAAAGAGGAGTTCTGTAAGAGCAGTGAATAATGGGAAACCCCTTTCATCAACACTGCTAACCTTTTGGCAGCCACCAGCAAACTCTATTCTGATCTGCTGATTGGGGAGGACAATACACTGAAGCTCACTTTGAATGAATGCTACCACCAACAGTGCCCCCATTCAGAAGGTTTTGGGAACCATCTTGGACCATTGTCTGCCATCACTCCTTCAGACAGTAGGGAAGGGGAAAGTGAGAGCATCTATAGGAAAGAAAGTACTTCTTTTCTTGGCTTTTAATCTCCCTTTAAAGCTTCATAGATCTCCACTTCCAGCTGAGCTGGAGGAGCGATATGCTGCCAGATAAACACAGAAGAGAGAGGTTTCAAGCTGGGCTTTTAAATCCCCTTATCTGCATGCTCTAATAATGCAGATTTAGTGCTGTTAAAACCAGGGGCTGATAAGTCTTTTCCTCTAAAGCCTTTAAACTGCTAAAGAGCATTTAACGGCAGTGCGGTTCAAGCTTTGGGAACAATACTGAGAAGGAAAAGAGTTTAATGAGCTAAACCCTCACTGAATGAAACCGAAACATCTTTTCACAGTTGATTTAAGTCCCTGTGGGAGTAAGTGAAACAGTCCTGTCTGCTGGATGTATTTTGGCAAGTATGAACACTAGTTAATTACAGCTATTTATGCAAGACTGAAGTGACCAGTCATAGACTGCATTCTGTCTTAATTATTTACAGAAAGAAATGAATGCAAATTGCCGCCTTCATCATATTGTTGTCATTACTGAAAGATGGTTTTCACTGTGAAGAAAAGACACATTATTAGTAAAAACAAGCAAATAAACAAAACCCTAAAATCAAATATTGGCAAATGATGGAAATGGTCTCAGATTAGAGATTTTCTTCAGTATTAAAATGATGGTGAACAGAATAAACATTTCCAGGAGGAAAAACAGAGTAAAAATAAAAGCATGCTATAATTGTTCAATTTTTGTGTAAGCTGTCTATTATGGATGTGAATATTTAGCATTTTTATAAGAATTGTTTCTTCGGAAGCAGTTTTAGAGATTATATTAAAAATTGCACTCAGAGCAAAATATTTCTTATGGAAGCCATTTGTGTTATGTCCATCCCATAACTTACATCCCTAAGACAAGGGCAAACTCAAAAACTTTGGGAAGTAGGTGAATTTTGCAGCTTAGAAAAGAGAAATTCAGTCCTCGATGCAAGACATGATGATTGCTAATTATTCTAAGATTTTCTCTTACTCACATAATCTCTGCTCAGGATGTGGTTGGGTATCTTGGCCAAGATGCTTGTCTCAAAGCAGGAATTAAAGGGTCCCTTATGAGCGTTCTGTGGAAATGTATACTTATGATCACACTGATGAGAGATTAGGTGGGAGATGTTCTTGTGTTGTCAATCTCGGAAACATTGTACATTTATCCAGACGGTGTCTCCCCACCCTGCCCTCACCCCCTTCTCGTTGTGACAGTGCTCCTCTGTTTTCCCTCTGAAATACAGCCTAGCCTGGTTCAACAGAAACATTTTTTTTACATTACAACTGTGAAATCCTGGCATAAAGCCCCCCCTTTGTGACCTCCATTATTTTCTCACAAATATAGTCCATTGTCACATAGCTGAAGTTAATTTGATCAACATTGGGACATTTAACTTTTATGTCCAGTCAAAGGAGCTGTTTCATGCTCATTTTGAGTATTCAAAAGAAATGATTGCCAGAAAAATAATGTTACTATTAACAATTCAAAGCAATTAGTTTTCCCAGGGTGACTCCATGTGATGCACAGGCTCCACACAGCCATTCTTTGTCATTTTATGGATGCTCATCAGTCAACTGTCACATCTTCTCAAAGACCCCTCTGATCTAAATGTTTCTCTTTGGGCTTTTCCCAGAACTAGGGGCTGAATGAGCCGAAGAAAAGCCACTGCGTTTCTAGGCAGAGGCAAACCTTGTGTTAAAGATCTCGGTCATCTGCGTAATTTGAGGACTTGAAGTGTTTGTAAACACTATTTTGCAATACTCTTTTGCTATTTATATGATAGTGTAAAATATTTTTTTATCCTAAATAGTGCTTCTTCATAGAAACATTAAAAGTATAGCCCAGTGCATTTTAACGTACACTTCTTAACTCCAAATAACATTAAAAGTTAATGAATACTACATGGAGTAAAATTACAAATTTTGAATATACTGTTTGAATTCATCTCATTAATATTTGCAATATTTGCCTATTTTCCTGCTCGGTTCATGATCTAAGAAAGGTTTTTGTCTCATCTTTTTCTTTCATTTTCATTTTTGTCTTTCCTTCCATTTTTTCTTCTATTTGTTTTAATCAGTTCTTATATTAGTTTCTGTTAGTTTCAGGGATGCCCAATAGTAGCAGTCATAAAGTAATGAACATTGCTATATGTAGTACATGCATAGATCCTCAGGACAGCATCCATACAATGTGTGGTCTCATTTTGTAGAACTGTAAGTTGTACCCAATGTAATACTCATTGGAAAAGTACAAAGATTCATTATCGATAGTTGCATATTCACTAGAAGGACGATTGGTTTAAGCCCCCAGAGTGATGAAATAATTGTTTTAACAATGACTTGTGCAATGATTCATAACAGAATAGAAAAAGTCAAAAGATTGTATTTTACATTTGTGCAAGAATTCATATCAGATTTCTGTAGGTGGTAGAAGCTTTGTGCCATATATCCCCAAGAATGAACAGGAAACCTTCATGCCCGGTCTGTCCCAGCTTACCTGTCTGAACATATCTCCTTCTATGAACCATCTCAGAGATTAAGATCATCTTGGGAGGCCCTGCTCTTGGTTCCACCTCCCTTGTAGGCACAGTTGGTGGGGACGAGAGACAGGGCCTTCTCAGTGGTGGCCCCTCGGCTGTGGAACTCCCTCCCCAGTGATATTTGATCAGCTCCTTCCCTCCTAGCCTTCAGAAAGAAAGTAAAAACATGGCTATGGGACCAAGCCTTCGGAGGATAACTGCAGTGCAATAAATGAATGTAGAATCTGTGCAATGACAACTAGAATGGCTCTGGATTACTATCTTAGACTGTGTAATTTTCATCATTGATGTAATTGTTTAGATGTTTTAATTTGTTGGTATTTAATGTAACTGTTTATTTAACTGTATGTTGTTTTTATGGCATTGAATTTTTGCTGATGTCTGAGGCCCGCTCAGAGGACTCCTCGAGGTTGAGGGGGGCAGGGTACAAATGTAATAATAAATAAACAAATAATATACTTAAAAAAGAAATTCGCTTGCGAAACTTTCTTAATACATTTCAGCAGCTTGTGTAGCCTTAGCTTAAAAGTTTATGTTAGACTTTTTCTTCTGATCAGAAGCTGGAATATGTTGTATTTGCTTCCATAAAATGGAATTTCAGGAGTGCTTAGTGTTCACAGATTTCCTACGATTGTCCCAAGTTCGTGTTATATAATAGTATGTACTTACACTTGTAATTTGGAAGCCACCAGAATCTCTGCTACCTGTACATTCATGTGTATTTAGAGCAGTGGTCCTCAACCTTGGGTCCCCAGATGTTTTGGCCTACAACTCCCAGAAATCCCAGCCAGTTTGCCAGCTGTTAGGATTTCTGGGAGTTGAAGACCAAAAACATTTGGGGACCCCAGGTTGAGAACCACTGATTTAGAGCAAAAAACAATAATTACAGTCTACATTAAAGGTTCATTTTAATTTGTATGCATGACTACCAT